ACCTACTGATATGAGTCACAGCACACATAAACATTTCAGACATTTTTAACGAACCTGTGCTCCGTCGCAAGATCACTCACTTCAAACGCTATCAGTTTAACGCGTCTCTCATCCACGATTCCTCAGTTTCTGACGACATGTCAAATAACGAGGATGTTATAGAATCTACCGACTGTTGTCAGGTTCCCATACAATCAACAAATACATTCAAGCCTGGATTCTTCGCAAAATGAGCAAAGAGAAAAGTTCGAATTAACTTCCAAAAATAACTCCCTCGTGGAGGGCAAGGTCGGATTTACGGTGTTCACTGTATTTATCCATGCGCGAAATTTGTTCCGGGGGAAAATCGAAACAATTTTAAATCTAACTTTCAGCTCAGAGTTCTATTGATAAACTTAAATCACCCTATAGACATATCATACGCAATTGTATTGATACTGAATTGTTCAATAAAATTGAAGTGTTTGTTAAAGTTTTAAAGTACTACTTTGTTTGCCAATCAGCACGCGACAATACGCTGTTCAAACTATTGAACGAAATTGTGTGGACTGTCGATAAGGCGGTCATTTTTAATTTTAGATATAAATTATAAGCTAAAAAAGCACTGCCATGTGTTCACCGTATGTTTGGTAGCATACAGGGCAGGAATCCTACCGAGAGTAAGAAATGTATCAGACCTAAACACGGGTCGAAAATATATTCTGAAGACCGTTCTTAACACAGTTATGAAATATGGCTTCATTGTGTCCAATCAAAGGCCTTAGAAGAAGCTGCAAAAGAATAGCAATGTAATCATTTCTCAGAGAGAGAGAAAAGTGAAAACCACAAATCGCTACTTGACCGGTGGACTATGTAACTACCCCGATCTTGATGTTACGCCACGATTTCTAACCCACAGACAATTTTAGAAGTAGGCATATCAGTCGTTGGTGTATACAAACACTAAGTTGTCTCCACAGGGTTAGTTAGGTTCCGGACAAAACATCCATTGAGTTTGATTTTTATGTTTTGTAATCCCAGTCTTTATATACCTGGTAATTTCCCGAAACGAGTTTGAGGAGAAACTGATTTTGCTGCGTTTTTTAACTATTAAGTCCTTCGAATGCTCTAATTCTTCCTCTTAAGTCAAAAAGGCGAAATTAGGTGACTTGTTTTATTACGATTTGCCAAACTTTGTTTGACGTGTTCCACAGAAACTACTCTAACGAAACTTCACATGTGTATTACGGGACTAGCGTGGAGGTACATTAGACATGTATTTTCCGTACAGTCATACATGTATGACGCTTGGCCACCGTGGTCTCTGACTTGCTGAAACATATTAGGCTACCTGGGTAAAAACTGCTGTTCTATTTTGTTAATTGCAATACATTTTCTGAATGGGATGATTTTATGGTGTGTTCTTTAGACGGGAAAAATCAGCATCTATAATGTCAGTACCAACACCTCTGCACACCTACGCTGACATTTTTCAATTGGACAAAATGACCGTCTTAGGACGGTACTGATTAGTCGATATTTAGACATTGTACATGTACGAGTTGGTTCAAATTTTGTATATACACTGTAGTTGTATATCTGTTTGGTCGACATAAGGTTTTGTCCTATGCATGTGGATTAGGACATTGCGATCATTTTCTGATGCATCATTTGCGCCTATATAACAGTCCGTTACAACTAGATTTTTTTAAATGTATGTTCCCTTCGATAGCAACTGATTTCACACCTGCTTTGATAAGTTCCTATTGTACTCGGAGTTCGTCTCCTTTGTTCTTTGATAAGTTCCTATTCTACTCGGAGTTCGTCTCCTTTGTTCTTTGATAAGTTCCTATTGTACTCGGCGTTCGTGTCCTTTGTTCTTTGATAAGTTCCTATTGTTCTCGGAGTTCGTCTCCTTTGTTCTTTGATAAGTTCCTATTCTACTCGGAGTTCGTGTCCTTTGTTCTTTGATAAGTTCCTATTGTACTCGGCGTTCGTTTCCTTTGTTCTTTGATAAGTTCCTATTGTTCTCGGAGTTCGTGTCCTTTGTTCTTTGATAAGTTCCTATTGTGCTCGGAGTTCGTGTCCTTTGTTCTTTGATAAGTTACTATTGTACTCGGAGTTCGTTTCCTTTGTTCTTTGATAAGTTCCTCTTGTACTCGGAGTTCGTTTCCTTTGTTCTTTGATAAGTTCCTCTTGTACTCGGAGTTCGTTTCCTTTGTTCTTTGATAAGTTCCTCTTGTACTCGGAGTTCGTTTCCTTTGTTCTTTGATAAGTTCCTCTTGTACTCGGAGTTCGTTTCCTTTGTTCTTTGATAAGTTCCTCTTGTACTCGGAGTTCGTTTCCTTTGTTCTTTGATAAGTTCCTATTGTACTCGGTGTTCGTTTCCTTTGTTCTTTGATAAGTTCCTATTGTACTCGGTGTTCGTTTCCTTTGTTCTTTGATAAGTTCCTATTGTTCTCGGAGTTCGTCTCCTTTGTTCTTTGATAAGTTCCTATTCTACTCGGAGTTCGTGTCCTTTGTTCTTTGATAAGTTCCTATTGTTCTCGGAGTTCGTCTCCTTTGTTCTTTGATAAGTTCCTATTGTGCTCGGAGTTCGTCTCCTTTGTTCTTTGATAAGTTCCTATTCTACTCGGAGTTCGTGTCCTTTGTTCTTTGATAAGTTCCTATTGTTCTCGGAGTTCGTGTCCTTTGTTCTTTGATAAGTTCCTATTGTACTCGGTGTTCGTTTCCTTTGTTCTTTGATAAGTTCCTATTGTACTCGGTGTTCGTTTCCTTTGTTCTTTGATAAGTTCCTATTGTTCTCGGAGTTCGTGTCCTTTGTTCTTTGATAAGTTCCTATTGTGCTCGGAGTTCGTCTCCTTTGTTCTTTGATAAGTTCCTATTGTACTCGGTGTTCGTTTCCTTTGTTCTTTGATAAGTTCCTATTGTACTCGGTGTTCGTTTCCTTTGTTCTTTGATAAGTTCCTATTGTTCTCGGAGTTCGTCTCCTTTGTTCTTTGATAAGTTCCTATTGTACTCGGGGTTCGTTTCCTTTGTTCTTTGATAAGTTCCTATTGTACTCGGTGTTCGTTTCCTTTGTTCTTTGATAAGTTCCTATTGTACTCGGCGTTCGTGTCCTTTGTTCTTTGATAAGTTCCTATTGTATTCGGAGTTCGTGTCCTTTGTTCTTTGATAAGTTCCTATTGTGCTCGGAGTTCGTGTCCTTTGTTCTTTGATAAGTTCCTATTGTTCTCGGAGTTCGTGTCCTTTGTTCTTTGATAAGTTCCTATTGTGCTCGGAGTTCGTGTCCTTTGTTCTTTGATAAGTTACTATTGTACTCGGAGTTCGTTTCCTTTGTTCTTTGATAAGTTCCTATTGTACTCGGAGTTCGTGTCCTTTGTTCCTTAGGACGCCTTGGCCATTGGAATTGGTGACAACAAATTTAAATCCATCTGACAAACCTCGATTGAGATAGGGAGCTGGGGTGAGAAATTGTGCCAGGTGAGATAACGTGTTACCCATGACCATATGTTTTGCGATATTTCTCACCTGGACGAGAAATCGTGCATGGGTGAGAAATCGTGGCGTTACACCTCCGCAGACTCAATCAATGACTAAAAAGGACACACTTCAGCCCATTTCTTGACCATCATATATTGTATTGTACTGTATATATGTTGTAACTGATAAGTCGGACGACTTAAAGTAATAATAAACATGTAAACTTGCCCATTTCTTGACCATTCGACTACAGAACTTGCATACAGAGTGTTGGCAACGCAAAACAGCTTCCGTGCCCGCCACCAACATGGGTGAGTTTAGTACAAAGGCGGGATGCCAAGTGATCCGTTATTCCCGCGGGAGATAAACCAATGGATCTGTAGGGTTCTGATTTAGTATGTCACCAAATGACATATTTTATCCAGAAAAATGCCAGGGCGTGGCTGTCGGAGAGTTCCTCAGCAAAAATCTGAAGTCGACATTAACAACAGGAACAACATAGGTTGTTCTATGCTGTCTATCTACACGTCATTTCCACTAAATTTAGACACATTCTTAGGGTGAATTCGCTGCAGGAAGGAAATTCATGTCATATGACAGAAAACAAAATTCCAAGAATTAAGAAACAAGCGAAACGTCACTCTTCAGGTGTTTATTTTACTATCTCTGAAACAACATGAATTTGTACTACCATGATCAGCGTCAAAATTCAAGACATGAGGTATATTCTGGAGAGAGATGGCGAAAAAGGGACTAAGAGCTTAGGTATATATATAGTCTGGAGTAAAATGGCTAAATATAGACTTAAAACCTAAGGGATAGTTTGGAGAAAGATTGCTAAATATAGAACTAAGACTTTATATATTCTACGGCATATATCAACGTGTGTAAATAAAATACAGGTAGTAACATAAACAATACACCAGACGTCAGTAGTTCACATAAAAAATACTCTTCACCAACTCTGTTTTAGTGATTTATTTTTACTTTTATCAACTATTGAGTCGTTTGACCATGTTTTGGGACAAATGTTTAATGGCAGTATATTATTTGTCCTTTACAAATTACGGGGAAAGCCACCTCTTCGCTTTTATAAATTGGAGATTTCCGGTAAAGGGGTCCCAGGGTGGTGTAGCCTGTTCCGGGCCGCACGAACCGATGTCGGTCAACTTCATAACAATCTCATCTAACAGAGTTCCCTCCCTTAGTACTCACTTCAGTAGTCTTCATCTTCATCTGTTAGACTTCCTCCGTCGAAACGGACGATTACGGGAGTAGTAATGTAGACAGCATTTTACTGATGTGTGTATTGTGTATGGTAAAACTATAAATACACACGAACATAACGTACAAACTTCTTTTAATTAGTAAAACTAGTTAAAGAAATGACCTCCTGAAGCTAACCGTGTGTGCGTGAGTGATAGGTCAGGACCTTACCTGTGTGCCCGGCTGTTTATCATTTTTCATTAGCGATTAAGGACGTGTCTCTGTTGGTAGGTGGACAGAATTATCAGTGTATGTACTGCGCATGCGCCTGTCTCATATCTTATTCATTAAGTTTTATATTTCGAAATTTGTTCTCGTGAGCACGCGATTGTGAATCATTTCGTGAGTAGATCGGTCTGGATTTATAAGATTTGACCACGCCTTTCGGGTAATACAAGGAAATCGAGCGTGCTATTCTGTCGTACAAGATCCTTCGTTAGCGGTAAGTGTCCAGTTTGTTAAATCAATATGATTACTTTTGTTTAAATTAACCAATGCACTTAGTTTAAACGTTTGTTCCATTCGGAAGCAGGGGAAACTACAGGTATAAAATATTTAAAACTCCCACTCTCGATAAAGTGACTTCTGACTGAGAGAGTGTAACCACAGTTTAAACAAAGATCGGGATACTTCTCTGTTTATAAAGCTCCGTTGTTAATATAACGGGTCAAGTTTATCAATATGTTATTGGGAAATGCGTTTGACCGGTAACCTGTCAGTATGTGTGTAACAGTCCGTATTCTGATACCTATCCGCGATAATCTGTGTTAATAGTTAGTTTTAAGCATTACTTGGAGAACATACGTACTGATATTTTGGTTATACAGTAATGCAGTCATCACGACAGTGAAAAATCTCAATTTCAAAATAGTTTGTGTAAATACTTTTTCATGCGTTTTCCTCGAAGATGAAAGTGACGCTGTGACGTGAAATCTAAAGCCCTAACGTGATCGGAGGACAAGATTACAAAATAAATGCTAATTCTTTACAAACAAACAGAAAAACAATAATCAGGTAGCAAAACAATGCGTATGCTGTATAGTTAGTCAGAGTTTTGGATTTCTACTTAAAGTGAAATTTATTTTCACTTTCTGTAACATAGCTATCACTTGTAATGTACAATTCTGTATTAGTCTTGCACGAGTCCCATTTCACCGACCATCATGTTGTCAACTAAAACGTAAGATTATGTCAGAATTGGTTTTGTTACCAAAATGTATTGTCATTTTTTTCACGTCAGGATCGATAGTACATAAAAGTATAGAACTGAAATATTTAAGGGGTTATGTCTCCTTACTTCTGCCTTCATCTCCTTTCACAAAGAGTGCTCGGCTAAAAAAACTGTTAAAAAACCCATTTTGACACAAGTAATGTATACTTGTTTAAACGACTGCTGACACAACAAGTGTCTTAGATCAATATTAATGCGTATATGTAAGGGAGACAACTCGGGGGATACCATAAAACTTATATAACTTTTACCTCTGAGCAGAACACTTAATCGACCTAAAACTATTATTTCGGTGACAGAATTCTGAACATTCCCTACATTGCTGAAGGTAAACTAAAGGACCCTAAATTCATCAGTGTCTTGGTAGACCGCCACCGTGATACTAGTGATAAATTAAGGGTCAGTGGAAATTAGACCAGATGTAATGACCCAACATGCATCATTCAAAATGAGCGACAGGGAGAGCTTCTGTGTCAGATTTCGACACACGTACAATACTATGCTGAATTCGTTGGCAAAAACATGTATAGAAATGTTCATGTCAAAATAGCCGACAAACAAGTTTTAAAAGAGACATGTGTATCTGACTCAAAGCAAAGAACAGGAAACCACCTCATTGTCAGCGTGTATTTAACGGAAGAAATTCCCTGGTGTGAGGTATGGATTAATAGAATCAATCCCTGATGTGAGGTATGGATTAATAGAATCCATCCCTGGTGTGAGGTATGGATTAATAAAATCCATTCCTGATGTGAGGTATGGATTAATAGAATCCATCCCTGATGTGAGGTATGTATTAATAGAATCAATCCCTGATGTGAGGGATGTATTAATAGAATCAATCCCTGATGTGAGGTATGGATTGATAGAATCAATCCCTGATTTGAGGTATGGATTAATAGAATCAATCCCTGATGTGAGGTATGTATTAATAGAATCAATCCCTGATGTGAGGTATGGATTGATAGAATCAATCCCTGATGTGAGGTATGGATTAATAGAATCAATCCCTGATGTGAGGTATGTATTAATAGAATCAATCCCTGATGTGAGGTATGAATAAGATTATTCAAACCCAAGGGATAAAATATTGAGCAGAGCCGAGGGTCTTTTGCTCAATATTTTATCCCGAGGGTTTGAATTACCTTATCCTTACCTCACATCAGGGATGGATTCTATTTCTTGCTTTTTACCTAAAACCCGTAAAAACAGCTGCTTTTCTAGTAAAGTTGTAAACTGTCGGTTCCATGTGAAGCCCGGATGGCAATTGTTAATGACGTCAATGACCCAGACTGACCCCAAAACGTCATAAAATCACGTCCGTGACGAACAATAGCGTGACCCCGAAAGGGGTCAATCTGCGCGAGTAAGCGGTCCAGACAAGTGGGTCGGATAGAATTTCGGTTTAGTATACAAGAATATTAAGGTGCTGTGATCTCAAAATGTGTTTCCGTCTATCAACCAAAATTTAGAAAATTCATATAAAAAAAAATTGATACTATATACTACAAGTATGTATAGAATGTAAACAATCAAAGATATACATGAGTTATTTCCGCTAATTTTCTATTGAAATTAAAGCTTTCGCGATATTTGACTTCGATACGCTCCTTAAAGGTAATTAGGTACACGGTACAGTCAGGTACCAAACCGGTTATTTCACTATTATACAGCCAGACACAGAAAAGTACACAGAGCGCGGCACACCGTCACTGAGGAACTTAAATCAGTACAGACAATCTAGAATGTGAGACACCCAACTCCTCAAGTTTTACTTCAGCACTTTGTTATCAGCTCCTCTTCAAAATCCTGTCCTTTTCCCAAACAATTGTCCGATCCTCCCTCCTCTCACCTCCCCCACCCATCATACCTAGTCTTGCCTCCTTCATCCATTCTTCCTCCTCTTGCCTCCGTCATCTTTCCTCTCCTCTTTCCTCCGTCATCCCTTCCCTCCTCTTGCCTCAGTCATCCCTTTCCTCCTCTTGCCTCCGTCATCCCTCCCCTCCTCTTGCCTCAGTCATCCCTCCCCTTATCTTGCCTCCGTCATCCCTCCCCTCCTCTTGCCTCCGTCATCCCTTTCCTCCTCTTGCCTCCGTCATCCCTTCCCTCCTCTTGCCTCCGTCATCCCTCCCCTCCTCTTGCCTCAGTCATCCCTCCCCTTATCTTGCCTCCGTCATCCCTCCCCTCCTCTTGCCTCCGTCATCCCTTTCCTCCTCTTGCCTCCGTCATCCCTTCCCTCCTCTTGCCTCCGTCATCCCTCCCCTCCTCTTGCCTCAGTCATCCCTCCCCTTATCTTGCCTCCGTCATCCCTCCCCTCCTCTTGCCTCCGTCATCCCTTTCCTCCTCTTGCCTCCGTCATCCCTTCCCTCCTCTTGCCTCCGTCATCCCTCCCCTCCTCTTGCCTCAGTCATCCCTCCCCTTATCTTGCCTCCGTCATCCCTCCCCTCCTCTTGCCTCCGTCATCCCTTTCCTCCTCTTGCCTCCGTCATCCCTTCCCTCCTCTTGCCTCCGTCATCCCTCCCCTCCTCTTGCCTCAGTCATCCCTCCCCTTATCTTGCCTCCGTCATCCCTCCCCTCCTCTTGCCTCCGTCATCCCTCCCCTCCTCTTGCCTCCGTCATCCCTCCCCTCCTCTTGCCTCCGTCATCCCTCCCCTCCTCTTGCCTCCGTCATCCCTCCC